AAATAATTACTAATGATTATGTTCTGCCATTTCAGATGATTCTCGCCACCGCCATCGTTCTAGTGCTCTGCGCCCAGCTCGCCGCCGCCGGCATCTGCTCCCCGGATCAGAAGGACGCCTGCAGGGAGCAGGGCTGCGCGTGTACCAGGACCGAGAGACCCTCGATCCCACCCGGCACTTCCTGTGAGGACGTCTGGGACAACAACTCCGTCTTCAAGTGCCGCCGGGCTTGGATGAAGTGCATGCAGGACAACGGATGCACCAAAGAAGGATAACAGGCCAGCTTGGCTACAGCTCACACCCGTTCATTCCTTCGTGCACTTGCTTGTTAGATGGTGTGGTCGATGAGGGCACACGTTAAGTTGTATTTCGTTAAAAGCTTTAGAAGTAGAACACAAAAAGTGACATTGAAAGCTTTGCAAATTGTTCTGTTGTTGTTTTTTTTCCATTTAATAATATTAAAACTTAAACTGAAAATAACAGTCTTGGCTTGCTTTCTTTTGGACGCAAGGGAACAAATAATAGTTTTAAACTGTGATGTTAACAAAAGATCGTCATCTCCTAGGTAACGGTTGTGACATTCTGGTTGTTTTTTTTTAAATTAATCTTTCAATTAACCTTACATTAAAATTAATGTTTTAATTAGCCTTACATTAAAATTAATTTTAAATTACGTGTTAGTATAAATATAATAGTTTGTTTTAAGACTATGAACAGAGTTGCATGTTAAGTGCTTAAAATTAAATCTCAGTATGCACACAAAGGAACAGGATACTTTTTGTAAAGCTGGTCTTTGACAAGGGGGATTCTCAACTTGTAGTCCGTGAAGTGGTGTCACGTGGTGTGTGGTGTATATAATATGTTGCTCAACGAGGTCGTTGATGTGATAGTTTGGGTTCTTAACATTTTGTCAGTGGCAGCAGAATTTACGTCATAATACGTCACAAAACAGGAAAGTACCAGAAAGTAGTAAGAGTTATCTACTAGAAATACTGACATTTAGATGATTAGATAGGATAAATATTTGTCATAAGTGAGTTGTCCTTTCCTATAACATTTTAATCTCTTATACATTTATCTATTACCGCTGACTGTCTTCGCTTATAATTACTCTTAGACGGGCTGGGCTACGCCACTTCATGCCTGATAAAATTTCATCAAACTTAGATTGGAAATTATTGCCAGAAATCTCTCGAAACGCAACGGGGAAGGATCCATTATTATTCTATGAACCTCACGAACTACACTTTTCTCAAAAAGCGAATAATAAATCGATGCTTCTCTGAAATATGATCGCGATAATATGGTGTTTTTGTTTTTTTTCGTTTTTTTTTTTTTTTTTTGGTCGTTGCTGTTAACAGTTTGAAGCATATCCAGAGTTAAAAAGAACGGCACGAATTTATTTATTTTACCTTTGCTTTCATATTGGATACAAGTGTATTTTATGTCTTGCGTGGAGGGGGGTAGTATCAATCAAATAGGAAACATGGCAATAACAAAAGTTCAAAATAAAGCAAACGCTACCGATCAAATTTTCTACGGTCCACTGATCATAGCACCTCCTTATACACCAAACATTCACAACAACAAGCAATAGCGGGACATGTATCCTGGCCTCCTCCGTCCTGGCTTCCTCCGTCCTGGCCTCCTCAGACCTGGCTTCCTCCGTCCTGGCCTCCTCCGACCTGGCTTCCTCCGTCCTGGCCTCCTCCGACCTGGCTTCCTCCGTCCTGCCTTCCTCCGTCCTGTCATTCACAACAACAAGCAATAGCGGGACATGTATCCTGGCCTCCTCCGTCCTGGCTTCCTCCGTCCTAGCCTCCTCAGTCCTGGCGTCCTCCGTCCTGGCCTCCTCCGACCTGGCTTCCTCCGTCCTGGCCTCCTCCGACCTGGCTTCCTCCGTCCTGCCTTCCTCCGTCCTGCCTTCCTCCGTCCTGGCTTCCTCCGTCCTCGCTTCCTCCGTCCTGGCTTCCTCCGTCCTGGCCTCCTCCGACCTGGCCTCCTCCGTCCTGGCAACCGTCCTGGCGCCGCCAATTTTCATGTGCATGAGTGTGGGGGTGGGGGAATGTGGAGGGAAATGTCAAACATGGCATCTTGGGTCAATGAACAGACCATTTGACCACCATACCACTTAACACGTGAAGGGGGATTGAAGAGTATTTAATAGACGTGTTTTTTGGCTGATTTCAATATTTTAACATTATGTAGCTCACCCCCCTCCCCCCACCACCCTCATTATCTCATTTGTCTCTAACTAACAAACCATAAGCCTTGCATTTAACAAATTGCAACATGTTTTTTTCTTTCTAAAATAAATTTTAATATTTTACAAAACAGACCATTGAGAGTATTCCAATGTAAACTCAGTTTATACAGACCTATAATGTTAATGTTAACTATAATCTATTATTGAAATCACACGAGATGGAAAAGAGGTGGGGAGGGGGCGGGGCACAGTGGCCTATCTGTCTACTGAAATATTACATCAAGAAATGGCATCAGCGGGGCGAGTTTGCACTCTTTATGCCCCCCCCCCAAATCACCCCTCCCGGGCTTAACTTATCGGGCCGCGGAGCGGCACGTTCGAGATGCCCCCTCGTCAGGACGGCCCCAACCCAGGCCCCTCACCCAAGTCCCCCACCCAGGCGCCTGGTCGCTCGACCAGCACCCCGCCTGGGGGCCGCCCCAACCAGTAGACGTCGGGTCGGTACGACATTATGCGTTTAAATAGTGCACACAGTCGACTTTCTTAGGAGTTGGGATGGAACATTTACGTCCTAATAATCTTCCCCCACCCATCCCGGGAAAGCGCCGGACGCCCTATAAGAGGGATTCTACAGTGGGTTTCCACAACGCAACTAGCTCGCGCTGTAGCTGGGACGAAACGGTTGCCTATGGGCAGCGTTCTCACGGCTGCATTATTTGAATCCTCGGCCAGAGGTTACCATCCTCGCCTCTGGCCTCATACCCGTCACCGGCAACTTGTAATCATGATCCCTACCCTGGCTCTGCCTAAATCTCCAGCTGTGAAATATCACAACTGTTTTATGTACGGCAGGTACCGAGGGCATCCGTTGTCTCCTGTCTGCCTACTTCATTGCTTGAAATGTGTCATCGATGTAGTCCTTAACCCCTTTTAATCTTCACCAAAAAAATAAATTCTTTTGTCTCTTACTCTCTATTCTCTTAAGCACACTAACATTCACGCTCACTCTCCAACACGTTCGATTTCTTCTCTTGCTCTCCCAAACCCAATCGTTAACTCTCGCTGTTTATCTATGTCTCTCCCCCTTCTCTCTATTCTCTCTGTTTCTGTCTCGTATCTCCCAACCCCCCCCCCCCCAACCACAAACTCAAATTTTATTGTTTAAAAGACCTTTGCAATTCTGTCTGTTTATGTCTACATTAAATAAGTACATACCTCCCTCACCTTCACACTTCTGCACAATGCAATGAAAGGGAGAGTTTTGCCACTCCAGAGGCCGATTTGACAAATGGCGCACAACATTTTGCAAAATGACAGACTCCAGTTTCCGCAATGATGCCATGATTCTTCCTCCAGCTTCCTCAAATGTATCCCCTTCGTTTCTCAGCGCAAGTTTTATAATTATACATTCGCAACTTGCTGACGTATTAGCATTTTTTTTTGTGGACCTAGTATCGAACGAATCAATCTGTGGCTTGAATTGACGCATCTCGTTGTTATTATTGATGTTTTTTTATGTTTTTTCTCCCTTCTCATTCAATGCAACTTCCATGAAATCAAATCCTCACTACATCATGTCAAACGACATTAATATCACTTGTTTCTTGCAAATATACATTTATACCTTCGTCACACATCACTCACCTACATCACTCACCAACATCACTCACCAACATCACTCACCAACATCACTCACCAACATCACTCACCAACATCACTCGCCAACATCACTCACCAACATTAATCACTAACATCACTCACCAACATCACTCACCAACATCACTCACCAACATCACTCACCAACATCAATCGCCAACATCACTCATCAACATCAATCACAAACATCACTCACCAACATCACTCATCAACATCACTTTCCTCGTTTATTGGCGCATTTCATTAACTCTAACCCAACTCTAACAATGCCCAGCTTGTGAAACGTACAAGAAGTATTTCATACATTAAGGGCAAAAAACATAATTGAAAATATAGAAATAAAACGATTTCAGTGATTAGAAGTCTTAAGTCTACTGCAGTGGCACTACAATAATTCACCGGCTGACCCCCCCAAACAAATATTACGTCTCATGTTGATTCGATCTTGAAGATGATAGCGATGTTATCAGATAGGATTGTTATTTTAAATTGTCATTTGTATGACGGCGCATCAGACACAGGAATTGATGGTACACGCCCAGCATAACCAAAAGTTGACAGCTAACAAGTTTATCGAATGCCATGGGATAGATCCCAGTGCCTATGTCACTTGCTTAATTTTCCTAGCATCGTCTCAACGTAGCCAAATTATCAGTATCCATATTATCAACACACTTCCTCATTTTTTTAATACTTAGAAATGTATTAAACTTGAGTTGCAGCTTGGGTTCAGAGTGCCCTTCCTCCACCTGTTTTTTTCCTCTGGCGAACAACTTGGTGGTTGGTCAAGATGGTTATTGAATGGGCTACACAAAGCTACTCATTTTATTGTCTATGGCAGAGCGTTACATCTGATAGATTTATAGCACCCATTGAAACATGTATATCTCGAGTCCTTAAAAGATCACTTTACTTCTAAGTTGTAACATGTTTTATGTAAAAATTTAAATTTCAAACTCTGTCAGACCCATTTATCTAATTTACTAAAATGCTATCACATCCAATTACCTCGACTAATTGCCCACTCATCAGGTTATTTTCCCATTAGTTTGTTGTAGTTTTTTTGTGTCCCCCATTACGTCAATCCACGGACTGCTGGCTATATAAGCTCTCAAAGCACTGGTCAAACTTGGAAACCTGATACCAAAGCATATCGAAAGAAAACAGGAGCAGGACAAACTTCACAGCTCAAACATGAACAAGGTCGGTGCACATTTATTGCTGTTTGTTCATTATATTGTATATTTTTGGAACAGTTATGATTTGCGGACATCAGAAATTATTTTATTCGTCTTCCAAATATGTTATTTAAACGATTTTTTTTAAACTTTAAAATTTGTTTCTAAGTTAAATTTCCCATATCTTTCATTGTTTTGGGGGAGGTTGATTTTTTGTGTTTATTATTTCTTTTTCCTTATTTAATGATATAAATGTACCCCTTTTATATCGACATATGAACTATATTTCCTAAATAATTTCAAATTATATGTTGGTTTTCTAATGTGATGTTGTTCTATATCCGCTAGTATATACGTGAGAGTATGGGTGTGTGCTTGGGGTGTGTTTGATAAGTACGATTCTGTTTGTTTTTAAAGTTTGTTAAGTATCTGTAACTGCTGAAGGTGTGCTTTATATAACTGGTATGTATTTTAGGTAGGGGCGCCCAAATGTGTTTTTTATATTATTTTATTGATGAAAATAATGGGTTTGAGAGTTGAAAAAAAGAAATGGAGGCTCTTGAAAATGAATCTTGTCCCCGGGCGCTAAAACACTGTAGCTACGCCTCTGGGTTACCTCTGTTGCTTTTTCCTCGTCTGGTTATGATGAACCTAGAGCTCCGCCCCACAAGCTTTGTACGTCATGTTATTTATACTTACATTGACTCACTTCATCTCACCAGCGATCCGGCCACCAAATAGTTACTAATGATTATGTTCTGCCATTTCAGATCATTTTCGCCATCGCCATCGTTCTAATGCTCTGCGCCCAGCTCGCCGCCGCAGACATCTGCACCCCGGCCCAGAAGAAAGCCTGCAGAGGGCAAGCCTGCGCATGTATACGGACCGAGAGACCCTCGATCCCACCCGGCACTTCCTGTCAGGACGTCTGGAACAACAACTTCATCTTAAAGTGCCGCCAGGCTTGGATGACGTGCATGCAGGACAACGGATGCACCAAAGAAGTGTAACAGGCCAGCTTGGCTGCAGCTCATTCCATTCCTTCGTGCACTTGCTTGTCAGACGGTGTGGTCGATGAGGGCACACGTTTAATTGTTAGTCGTTTCAAATTTTAGAAGTAAAACACAAAAAGTTACATTGAAAGCTATGCAAATTGTTCTGTCTTGTCTTTTTCCATTTAATAATATTAAAACTTAAACTGAAAATAACAGTCTTGGCTTGCTTTCTTTTAGACGAAAGGGAACATATAATATTTTAAAAACTGTGATTTTAACAAAAGACCGTTATCTCCAGGGTAACGACTGTTATGGTCTGTTTTTTTTTTTAAAATAATCTTTTAATTATCCTTACATTAAAATTAATGTTTTAATTTTCCTTACATTAAAATTAATTTTAATTTAAGCGTTATATAAATATGATAATTTATTTTAAGACTATGAACAGAGTTGCATGCTAAGCGCTTAAAATTAAATCTCAAGATGCACACAAAGGAACAGGATACTTTTTTTTTAAAGCTGTTCTTTGACAAGGGGGATTCTCAACTTGTAGTCCGTGAAGTGATGTCACGTGGTGTATATAATATGTTGCTCAACGAGGTCGTTGATGTGATATTATGGGTTGCTTAACATTCTGTCAGTGGTACAGAATTTACGTCATACTACGTCACAAAACAGGAAAGTACCAGAAGGTCGTAAGCGTTATCTGCTAGAAATACTGACATTTAGATGATTAGATAGGATAAATATTTGTCATAAGCGAGTTGCCCTTTCCTATAACATTTTAATCTCTTATACATTTATTTATTAACCGCTGTTTGTCTGCGCGTATAATTATTCTTAGACGGGCCGGGCTACGCCACTGCATGCTTCATAAAATTTCATCAAATTGAGATTGTAAATTATTGCCAGAAAACTCTGAAAATGCGACGGGAAAGTATCCATTATTATTCTATGAACCTCACGAACTACACTTTTCTCAAAAGAAAATAATAAATTGAAGCTTCTTTGCAATATCATAATAGGGTGTTGTCGTTTTTGTCGTTGCTGTTAACAGTTTGAAGAATATCCAGAGTTAAAAAGAAAGGCACGATTATATTTATTTTACTTTTGCGTTCATATTGGATATAAGTGTATTTTATGTCTCGGGGAGGGGGTTAGTATCAATCAAATGGGAAACACGGCAATAACAAAAGTTCAAAATAAAGCAAACGCCATCGATCAAATGTTCTACGGTCCACTAATAAGACTGCACCTCCTTGTACACCAAACATTCACAACAACAAGCAATCGCGGGAGATATGTCCTGGCCTCTTCCGTCCTAGCCTCCGTCCTGGCGCCGCCAATTTTCATGTGCGTGAGTGGGGGGTGGGGGAATGTGGAGGGAACTTTCAAACACGGTATCTCGGGTCAATGAACAGACCACTTGGCCACCATACCACTTAACACGCGAAGGGGGATTCCGGAGTAATTAATAGACGTGTTTGTTGGCTGATTTAAATATTTTAACATTATGTAGCACCCTCCCCCCCTTTCAACCCACTCATTATCTCATTGGTATCTAACTAACAAACCACAACCCTTACATTGAACAAATAGCAACTTGTTTTTTTCTTTCTAAAATAAATTTAAATATTTTGCAAAACAGACCAATGAGAGTAGTTATCAATATACAGACCTACAATTTGAATTTCAACTATAACCTATTATTGACATCACACGCGATGGAAAAGTGTGTGTGTGGGGGGGGTGTGCGGGGGGGCCCACAGTGGCCTGTCTGGCTACTCCATTGCTTGAAACATGTTAGACGTGGATGAAAGCAGACGTTCTCTCGAAATGGAAGATCCCATGTATCAGTTATTCTATCCAGTACATCTTATTTGAGAACTTTCCAGTTAAATTGTCAATATTCTTTAACACTTCACTACAGCTGCGTAACTAAGGGGTGTGGGGGGTGGGTGTGTGGAGCGCACTGGGGTGACACCATCCGAGGGGGGTGATATCAACTTGAAAAATTGCATATTTCTAGCACAGCGCTCGGTCTAATCGAATTTCATAAAAGGATAACCGATCACAACTAAATTCTCTAAACATGCACACGAGCCAAATGCTTTCTGCCACTTTATCTTTTTTACGTAATAGTTCCTGTCATCACGACTGTTCCGCAAGCACAAAACGCACTTCGGTTTTGTGTACCCAAGCTGTAGGCCTAGAGGTTTTGTGTACCCAAGCTGATGGCCTTGAGGTTTTGTACTCAAGCTGTAGGCCTAGAGGTTTTGTGTACCCACGCTGATGGCCTTGAGGTTTTGTGTACTCAAGCTGTAGGCCTAAAGGTTTTGTGTACCCAAGCTATAGGCCTAGAGGTTTTGTGTACCCAAGCGGTAGGCCTAGAGGTTTTGTGTTCTTAAGCTGTAGGCCTAGAGGTTTTGTGTACTCAAGCTGTAGGCCTAGAGGTTTTGTGTACCCAAGCTGTAGGCGTAGAGGTTTTGTGTACTCAAGCTGTTGGCCTAGAGGTTTTGTGTACCCAAGCTGTAGGCCTAGAGGTTTTGTGTACTCAAGCTGTAGGCCTAGAGTTTTTGTGTACCCAAGCTGTAGGCCTACAGGTTTTGTGTACCCAAGCTGTAGTCCTAGAGGTTTTGTGTACTCAAGCTGTAGGTCTAGGGGTTTTGTGTACCCAAGCTGTAGGCCTAGAGGTTTTGTGTACCCAAGCTATAGGCCAAAGGTTTTGTGTACCCAAGCTTTAGGCCTAGAGGTTTTGTGTACCCAAGCTGTAAGACCTAGAATAAATGGCAACCAATGTCAGGTCAGCACAGATTTTCTAGTCTTGTTCTGAGTATTTGATCATCTTCTAAACGTGTTTCATTGGATCATATGTCTCTATGCGGCCGTTCTCTACCATTGTGAGAACACACATGTGCCAAAGTTGTAGCTTTGCTGGAATCTTCGACCTATCTCCCTTGATCAGGAACGTTTTCGCAACCTAACTTCAGCATGAGAACCTACTTTTATCTGTCCTGTCTGCTGAGGAAGGCTGTTAGCCGAAACGTTCTTGTCTTAGTGCCCTGTTTCTTAATTCAAGCTTTCCACATCACCTTGTTCAACTTCATAGTTAACTCAGCTTGGACAAAAACTTCATTTGTTATAGTAATTGTTAGTATGTGAAAACAAAGTTTTAAATTACTATTTAAAAAGACTATGAGACAAGCGAGGCTCATTCTGACTTCATATCCACTCATCCTTCTCATCCACTCTCAAAACAAACCTCTCCCTCCATTCGCTCCTTCTTCTATATCTATTGGCAACTCTGACATCACACTCTCTCCCTCTGCCAGAAACCTTGGAGTCACTCTTACGGACACCCTCTCCATGGACAAACATGTCACGAATATATGCAGATCAGCATATAACGAAATTAGAAAAATCAGCACCATTCGACACCTCCTCTCCGTTGATGCCACAAAAACTCTCGTCTCTTCACTCATTCTTTCAAAATTTGACTACTGTAACATTCTTCTCTCAGGCATTCCTCAACACCACATAGAAAAACTTCAGAAGGCACAGAACTCAGCATGCAGACTCATTTTTAAATCAAAGAAACATGACCACATTCAACCACACATGCGGCAACTCCACTGGCTTCCAATATCCTCTCGCATCAAATACAAGTCTGCCAATCTTTGCTTCAACTCGTTCACTGACCCTCACTTTCCTGTCTATCTCTCTGAACTGTTGCTTCCTTACATCCCCACAAGACAACTACGTTCTTCCATTGACAGTAGAACCCTCTCAATCCCAAGAACTAAAACTAAGACCATCGGTGAACGCTCCTTCTGCTTCCATGGGCCCACGTTCTGGAACCAGCTCCCCTTCCATATACGTCATAGTGAAACCTCGTCCATTTTCAAAAAGTCCCTTAAAACTCATCTGTTTAGGTCCGCCTATGACCTGTGATGCACCCTCCTTGCCCTACCTCATTTTCTGTTTCGGGTTGATCCTGAAGTGTCAAAGTGTCCTCGTTTTATAGCCATTTTCATTGTTTCTATAGAATAGTAGTTACTATCCTAGTGTCTCATTTTTATTTTACTTAGTTCACATGTTTTAATAATTGTAAAGCGCTTAGAGCTTTATGATAAGCGCTATATAAAAATGCCTAAATAAATAAATAAATAAATAAATATGTGTTGTATCAGCAAGTTCACAATAGGACATACACTATTACTTTCATTACATTTCTTTTTGGTGTAGTGTTGTAACAGGTGTTTTTTTTATGTTATTTTATTTTGGAAGCAGTGGCAATGTCCCAATATTGATGGTGAAACTAATCTTCAAACATTCTTTCGATTTCATTTCTAATGTTTATTTATTTTTATGTATTTTTTCAAAAAAAAATGTAAATCATAGATAATGCATAAAAATTGCAAAAGCTAAATCAATATTTTAGTTAATTTATTCCCATCTCTTAGTGTATCATTCCTAACGAGCCATCGCTAATGTAGCCGTCAGTTCGCCCTAAAGAGCCCATGGTAATGTAACGCTCTTGTTTGTTGGCTCTCATGTGGTGACTGCTTTTTGACAGTGTTCGTCATACATTTTCAAAAAATGGTCTCAGTAAAGAGTTGGATCGTGAAGGTAAGAAACAACTAACCTTTTTTTTCAAATATGTCATAAAATTGTGACTATTCTTGATTTACAATCTTACTTTAAAAATCGTGTAAACATCTTTTAATAGAAGTTGGGGCTAGGTTCGTCAGACATTTATGTTCAGGTTCCGATTGGATTGGCACGTTCGGTAATTATCGCAAATTGAAATGAGTTTGGTTTATAATTTAAATAAAAGAATAGATATTTGATATTTTTATAAACATAAGAGTTTAAAATGGAAAAATAGAAATGCAATTTTAGCGATTCCATAGCAAAACAGGATCTTTCACGATCATAGTACACCGGGATTTATATAAATGTAAATAAAGATATCATAGTACATTATAGTATTAAAAAATTTAGCTGCCATAGTACATTATATGATTGCACATAAAGGTGAGAGTCACTAAAATTTAATGAAAAAGCAAGTGGAAAAAAAATAATTTGTATTGGTTTTAATGTAAATGTCTTATGCTAATTGATTGCACTCTGGGACTTTCTTTGCACAAGGGGTATTACATTTTTATTTTTACACAATTCTAATCTTATTTGATTTTTGAACGTTTCAAGTAGCTGACACTGGATGAAACCGAGTCAGATACAACGTG